CACGTGCGCTTGTCGAGTCGGGGACCACCAGTCGGACGATTCGGAACTGCCGGCCAATCAGCACGCCGCTTTTGTGATGTGATAGTTTGAGAACCACTGGATATGGTAGCGTAGCAGCTTTTCGAAAGGCGCTACGCTACCAAATCCTCCCCTATTTGTCGCTTAAAGAGGGAATTGAAGGGCAGGATAAAATTACTTCAAAATATGAATTGTTGAATTTCGAGTATTAAATAAGCCCAATTTATATTGTTTACAGCATAAACGATGCTTAGTATGCTTCTAACAACAATAGCGTCCATAGCAACGTTACACGCGAGCGCTATGATGCCTAAAATTCGATCTGAAAATAGGGGAGAAATAGGGGAAGATTAAGGGAACCCTATGTAAACACGACTGGTGTCGCGTATGCAAGTCCAAATATTTCGGCCAATATTGTTTGGCCTTGGTCACTGGACAACTAGAATAACCCTATAGTGAGTGTATCTAGATATTCTTAACTTGGAATCTCCTACATGGTTGATAGCGCGCGGGGATATGATTTTTTTGTCTGTGAATTTAATTTAGAATTTTGGGTATCGCTGCAATGTGAGCTATACTTATAGGGTTATTCTAGTTGTCCAGTGACCAAGGCCAAACAATATTGGCCGAAATATTTGGACTTGCATACGCAATACAATCCCAGTGAATTCCGATAAAGTTTTATATCTACAAACATAAACCTGGGAAAAATATGACTCTAAAACAGCACGACTGGTGTCATCCATCGGCTCTTCTTGGCTTTCGCATGAAATTGAATTAAGGCCATTCAGCTGAGATGCCATGAAACTGTTTTCTGGAGAGAAGGATTCGTGGTTTTGCCAAAGAGGATTTATTATTCCTTGAAATATTTTATATGCCGACACGCTAGCATGTTATGTGATTATTGCTGCACTTAAGTTATTATTCTCTCTATATCGTATGGCTCAAATATTTTGGCTTTCACCAGTAATGGCCAAATCAACATAGCCGACAGCTCATTGGCCTAATATCCTGCAGCACTTTGACTGGTTTCCCACTCCCAGGACCCATTTCGGCGTCGTGTTTCACTTTCCGGCTATCAGACCCATCAAAGTGCAGTTCCCACCTACCCAAATCCACAAATAGGCGAATTCCCAACAGCCAGGAGCTATACGGATGTGCTCATTTCGCATTGGCGATGCTCCAAGCTCCAGCCCTTGTGAGCTGCCGGTTGACGTATATCGGCAGTGGCCGGCGATCTTGGCAAGGTGCCAGCGCCTGGTGGGCGACCCTTGGTGACCTAGCTAAGGCTGGTCCGAAGTAGCGGCTTAGTGGCACACTGGACTTGCACCGAATGAAAGAAGGGCGGGTGTAGTTTTGCGCTGGTTCCTTGTGAGATTGATTGATTAGACAGATAAGCTGTCATTGGAACTAGACGAGCAGCTTGTTGGGTTGGAACTGGATTCTTTGAAACTGGAGGGATTAGAGTTATGATATCCATCTCAAGAGCTCTCTTTCTCCCTGGTCTTATTTCTTACTTCCTTCCATTTCTCTCTCTCTCTCTCTCTCTCTCTCTCTCTCTCTCTCTCTCTCTCTCTCTCTCTCTCTCTCTCTCTCTCTCTCTCTCTCTCTCTCTCTCTCTCTCTCCCTCCCCCTCCCCCTCCCCCTCCCTCCCTCCCTCCCTCCCTCCCTCCCTCCCTCCCTCCCTCCCTCCCTCACCTTCCCTCTCTCTCCCCAAAACACCTGCCAATCCAACTGACCACCTCTCCACGTCACCCCACGTCCCACACCACACTCCACCCCACCCTATTTTGCCTGCGTCGTCACCACCGGTCTCCCAGGAGCCTCCCACCACCACCACCACCGCCGCCACCACCACCGCCGCCGCCGCCGCCGCCGCCGCCGCCGCCGCCGCCGCCGCGGGCACGCCGGTGGAAGTGGGTCGTCGACCTCCTCGGCTCGGCTCGGCGGTGCTGGAATGCACCCGTCTGACGTCACAGCCGGCCTCCTCGTCGGCTCGTGGCCACATGTGGGGATGGTCGGTTCCGCTAGACTGACGACGATCGGCGAATTTGATGGATTGAGACGTCGAAGCTAGGTGGCTTATTTTGGATATTATTCGACATAAAGTTTTCGTTTTGAAGTGTGTAGAGCTATGTGCTACGATATTCAGTTCACGGCTAAGTATATTAGTTTGCAGGCGTTTAGCACCGCTATACTGACCTATTTTGGTGCAGACTGCGCCGGTTCGGCCGAAGTTCTCTGATGTTATCAACTGGTGTTCCTAGAGGTCGGAACACCGGTATCTATTGAGAAGCTAGCCTACAGGGCGAACGGTGACTCTTAGATAGTGCTGACTACCCGGCTGGGTAAGCAATGTGGGTCACATGAGTCAAGGGAGAGCTATGAGTGGAAATTAGACGCGAATCATCGACTCATGTTGATGTGACGAAGAAATCCGGTGGTAGAGCCTAGCTCTCCATCGCAGTCTCGTGGTGCTAGCGACTTATGTATCGTTAGAGTCTCCATGATGGGTGCTTTCAATCTCTTGTCTTCGGGACTGTGGTGCTAGCGACCTATGTTTCGTTGCAGTCTCTCGGTGCTAGGCACTTGCCCTTCGTTGAAGTCTCCTGAGTGCTGGCAGCTCCAATACTTTTCCATGCGTTGTAATTTGCTGCTAGATGGCTTGAGAGGGTCGCCGTGGTGTTAGTAGCCCACTCACAGTTGCAGTCCCCTCGTTGGCAACTGCTTTTGATGCAAGCAAATTGACAAACGTCCATACAAACGACTAAACGTTGCCGCTCGGATTTTCGGCTTTTGGTGCTAGTGACTTATCCACGGCTGCAGTATCTTGGTGTTAGCTTGTCATGCTCCGCTGCAGTCTCCCGGTGTTATCTTTACATCCGATGTCGCAGTCTCTTCTTGGCTACTGTAGTGTCCACGGGCCGTATCGTGCCGGCTTGACCCCGGTTCTTGGTCGCTCCCTTCTTCACTAGCTGACCACTACAGTAGAGAGAGAGAAAGAGAAAGAGAGAGGGGAAAGAGATTAGAGAAGAGTCTGGAATAGAGAGAGAGAGGGAGAGAGAGAGAGAGAGAGAGAGAGAGAGAGAGAGAGAGAGAGAGAGAGAGAGAGAGAGAGAGAGAGAGAGAGAGAGGGTCAGGAATGGCGAGCGAGTACGTGTGTCGGCAAAGGGTAGAGTAGGTATGGGAGTGGAGGGAAAGAGCGGGAGGGGAGCGCCGGCCGCCCCATGTCCGACCTGTTTGTCTCGGAGTACCGACGCGCTGGAACGCGGGGCGATGGGACGGTAAGTGGCGATTTAATCACGGTGGGACGGAGCCCGAGCCCACGGGACGGCGCGCCGGTGGACGGTCGGACCGCCCGGAGTCTGTACCGTGTCCCGGATGGCTGATGGAGGGCGATGGAGTACCAGAGCAGGTCCTGTTCCAAATCAGATGCACGACTTATACGATGGAGAGAGCCATAGACACACCAAAACACTCAGTGACTTAAAGTAAAGGGACATGTTCTCTAATGTCAGAACTGATTTTCTGGAATTTTCGAGTGTGGCGATTGACACAGCTTTTCCGATCCCATATTCGTTCTAAATCCACTCTGATCACAAATCAGCGTCTACCGAACCGCTGCCTTTTACGTCGCCCTCTGATTCCATTCAGCGGCCGCGGCTGTTAGCGGCGGTGGCGGGGTCGTTGACTGGGCCCGGCTCCCAGCGGCCCCTGGGGGCAGGTGGACCGCGTGAGACGCGCACCTCAGTCGACGCCAGCTGTCGGACGGTGTGCTCAGAGGGCTGGCCAATGACCGCCAGTTGTGCCTGGTACCGGGGGTATATATGGGGAGGGGGATGGTGTGGGATTGTGGGTATATGGGGTGGACTGACCGCCAGTTGTGACTGGTACTATATAATACTGAACGAGGCCGGTGTAAATAAATTTTCAAGACCGAGGTCCTTACTGGATTTTTGAACGAGGCCGAAGGCCGAGTTCAAAAATCAGTAAGGACTGAGGTCTTGAAAATCTATCACCGGCCGAGTTTGGTATGTATTTTACTGTATGCCAACGATAAATTAATTTTCTGGACCGAAGCTCTTAGCCGACTTAGGAACGAGACCATCCCAAAATGTTGGCTTAAGTGCATTCTGGTAATGCATTTTTGACCGTGGTCAATTTGCTTACACCAGTTATTACCACACCCCTCTGGTTAATGTATTTGAATAGGCCAGGCATACAGTAACGGGGGTATATGGGGTAGCCAATGACCGGTCGTTGTGACTGGTACCGGGGGTATATGGGGTGGTGTGGGTATATGGGGTGGACTGACCGCCAGTTGTGCCTGGTATCGGGGGTATATGAGGTGGACTGACCGCCCTTTGTGCCTGGTACCGGGGGTATATGGGGACGGTGTGGGATTGTCGGTATATGGGGTGTACTGACCGCCAGTTGTGACTGGTACCGGGGTATGTGGGAGGGATTTTTGGGATGGTTCCGGGGGTATATGGGATGGTATAACTGGTTACGTAATGTATAATGTATGTCTATGGCACAACGAACCTGGTTGTTGATATAGCTATCGGTGCCGCGTCAAAGTTGGCACCGATAACTCACTGAATCCGTAATGTGGGCACACTGGGACCAGTTATTTGCCACAATGAAATAACTGTGAACGACTGTTATAAAAGGTTCGTGAAATGAGCAGACGAGCATTCGACAGATCAGTTTTTTTTCGTAAAAAATACATAACATCGATGACTTACATTGATATAACATGGCTATAATTCAATTTCCCATTTAATACTACGTTATAGCAATAAAACGCCATTGTATAATCGGAAGGTAATACATGTTGTAATGTGTCACTGCGAGGTCAAGTGTGTCATTGTCAGTGTCACGAGAAGGTGTGTCAACTGCCAGTGCCGTGAGGTGTACTAGCGTCAACTGTCAGTATTGTAAGGAGGTGTTCAGCTCGTGACACTTTTGTTCTTCCCCAGGTGACGAGTGTGATGGTCTGAACGTGAACGTCAACTGCGGCCAGCGCGCCCGCTCCAAGCGGCAAACGGAGAACGACGGCCTCTACGAGGTGGAAATCAGCTTCCCGGCTCAGAAGTGAGTACAAAACAGCAGCTCATGGTCTCGTAATTAGTTACGCTCAATGATTGATTGAGTGTGGAATGGCTTATTGAACATCTGGTACCGGGGACATTGCGTCGACGGGCTTTTGAATGAGGAAGACAGTTTGCGTCATCAGCTCATTTGAGAACATGTTGAAATCTATTATGGTGGTGCAGACTCTATTGCATATTTTGAAGTAATCCTGCATTACTATATCGGGTTGCGATGTTCCGTTTTTTTTTTTAAGAAGATGTGAAACTGTAACCATGAATGAATGGATGAATATCCATTATCTAGGCATAAGCGGACTTGCTTATCATCGTTTTTATTTTACTAGGGATAAATAAATGTTGTACATGTTTCCGCGATTCACACCAGCTGAAAGTTTTGCCGTAACTATTCCCGAGTTTTCAATTGACCAATGTCGTCCGTTCGTTACAGCGGACCGGTCACAAACGCCGACACCAACCAGGCAGCTGATGTTCAGGCGCTCATAGAGAGGATCATTCTGGAAAATGTGAGTTTGATTACATCTAGGGCCGTGAAGAATGTTCTGGGGCTAGTGTCTTGTGATAATGTAATGCTGTAAAACGGTTTGCTTCATACCCTCTTCCATGCTGGTTTCGTTTTTATTCAGTGAGTCTAGCGTACAAATGCTTCTATGCATTCTACAAATAATTATTTGTACGTTTCTTTGCATATGTATTTCATAGCGAGCAGCTCGACGTGAAGACGGTTATTTGTTTCATATAGCGTACCTACATTTGTTTGTACTAGTCTCAATACTTATTGGTTTGATGTTGTTCTTTGATTTGCAGTCCCATCTGCCTTGTGTTACCGGCTCCATTACCTGTGCATCATTCAAAGGTTGTTTCCCTTCTGCCCCGTATAACCGCTGTTTGTTTCGAGGTGAGTTTTGACATGACTTTGCGCTCATTTTAGGGCGAATTTGACGTTCAGTCTCAGCTGCCTAACGTGGTCCCTGACCCGGCCTCTCTGGAACTGGGCTCAGAGTACTACTGTGAACCCGGAAAGGTAGTCTTCGGTGACCAGTGTGGTAAGTGTAACGGCGGGTCAGCGTAAATTGGGTAACTAGTGGGGAAAGGAATAACTCATGCTGGGTAAATGAGAAGGTAATAATCAAACGATATGCTGGGAAGGGTTTACTAGTGTTATAAGGAGCGGCGATACCATTGAAGGGATCATCGATGTGTGACCGAGTCTAAGATTATGCACAGGAAAGAACAGCCTGTTTAAAACTAATGGATCAATGTGTGAATATGATTCTTGCATGTCTGAAGTTTCTGCAGCGCTCCGTGAAGCTTTGAGAGCTGACAAATTTATAGTCATTATAGCTCAGCTGAATTTAACAATGCCTCACTGCGCCATGCAGTGACACTCTACCAATTCTAAGACAGACTGATCTGACCTTATCTGACCTGACCTGACGTCATTTCACAGTATCCTGCGCGGCGGGTACGTTCTACGAGCGCTCCACGGGCACCTGTGTGAAGTGTGCACTGGGTACCTATCAGGATCAGCTGGGGCAGTCGTCGTGTATCCCCTGCCCGGCCATCGCCGGCCGACCGGGGGTTACAGCCATCCGCGGCGCGCAGAGCGTCGGCGAGTGCAAAGGTGAGTAACAAGGAGAGATGGAGGAACGCGAAGAGAATGGCTGTTTCAGTGTGATTGAAGCACTTTTTTAGTTTTCTGCGTCATAGTTGTGTTTGTCGTTGAATGGCGGGAGAATTAATTGCCTGGACCTCTTGATATCAATTACCTCGGCATGAACTGCGTGCAGGCTGATTGAAGTGAAGACCTTCATTTTGTTTGAGGCTCTTTTGACTTATTTTCACTAATTCCCTCATCTAACGGTTTGTTATCTTGCAACTTTATCAGTTGTCACTTGCTTCTGCAGACTCCCTCTGCTCTCAAACTCTATCTGTGTGCCCAGCTCCCCAAGTATACTGTGCTCTTTTTAGCTGTAACCCACCCGTCTCCTGCATTCTCTCTAACCCTGCCTTTCCTGTCCCCAGAGCGTTACTGTATTTTCCATCTCTAACCTCCCCCCTCCCCCTCCCCAGAGCGCTGCTCCGCCGGCCGCTACTACGACAACGAACTGCTGCGCTGTCACGCCTGCGGCTTCGGCAACTACCAGCCTGAGGAGGGACAGTTCTCGTGCTCCCCGTGCGGGCCCGGCCTGACCACGCGCACCTCGGAGAGTGTCACCGGAGAGGTGAGACGGGACATTACCGTAGGGAAAAGTCGCGGAGTTTACCATTTCATTTTTCTAAGGCTATGTAATTTATTAATTAATTAAGGCCCGTAATTTCTTTCTTCAGTGTTAGTTTCTACAATGGAAAAGACCGTGTTAGTTGTTAATTTCTGTCGGTTAGTCGAGTTTATACAGCTGTATTTGTGAAGGACGACTCAATTTTGACCGACTTTGACCGGTGTTGTTCACTTTTAACATTTTAACGCTTTAGCACTGGTTTTGCCAACCCATAGAAAGGATATTTGAGCTCGCGTCTGCTATATAGAGAATGCTTAACTTCTGCCAAGGACAGGGCGAACTCTTTTCCTGCTCCTCACATGTGTTGTAATTTACATGGATCGAGTGTGTAACTCACCCCGTCCCCACTCCCCACAGGAGTGTAAGCCCGAGTGTGACGACGGTGAGCAGCTCTCTCTGGACAACTCGTGCCAGCCGTGTGCACGTGGCACGTACCGCACACGTGGCGAGCAGCCAGCCTGTGTGGCCTGTCCCGAGGGAACCACCACACTGGACCTGGGCTCGAGCACGGTGGAACAGTGTTCACTGCCCATCTGCCGCGAGGGTAAGGATAACACGGGGTTAGGGTTAGCGTATGGGAGGATAACCACAGGACAAAGGAAAACATAAGGTGTTTAGGGGGAGTGGGTTGGGACTTGGGATACTACAGAGGAAGTAGCGTACTATTTGGGATTTCGTTGCGGAAATCAAATATTTTGTGGCAGTTTATGTGGACATAAATGTCGGTGTTTGTGTGACATGCATTTTAGAATGTGAACGCTGCGTTTGCATCGATGTTTTGTATGCACTAAAGAGCATGTATTGCCGTTTTCATTACACGAGATGCTTAAGCTTCGGCAAGATACCATGTTTTACGTGAGAGCATTGCACCGTTATCCGCATAGATGCATAGACGCATAGTCTGTACTTTGCTCAATTTCGCTAAGAATGGTAAGGTATGTTTGTGCTGGTATGATAGTTACACTGTTGTATCATGTGCTCTAAGTCGCTCACTCGCTCGTTTCCCGTGTTCCACAGGCACCTTCCTGAACACGACGGACGGCAACCGATGTATGGAGTGTCCTCTGGGCACGTACCAGCCCAAGTCGCAGCAGACGGCGTGCATTGAGTGCCGGCCCGATACCACCACAGAGCAGGTCAGTCACAGTCACAGTCAACAGTCAGTTAGTGATACTGTCACTCATCAATCACTGAAGTCCCAGTCAGACAGTCTCAGTCAGTTACTGAAGTCACAGTCATAGTCTGGCGTCGTTGCAACATTAGTAGACATTGTTGCTGGAAATACCTGCGCTACAATGCTGTAATGTTATGACTCATTTTAAAGTCACGTTCTTGGGGTTCTAAAGAGCACAGTGCAATGCCATAAAAGATCAAAAGATTTAAGTATTTGTTTCTAATTAGCTCAAATACTTAATTTCTAAGTATTTGTTTCTAATTAGCTCATCCGTTATCCCCCACCAGTCTCCGTTTCCGCTAAATAATGTGGCCTATCTAACCACTGTTCCCCCTCGCCCTCAGGTTGGTGCCACCAGCGCTGAACAGTGCGTAAACCCGTGCGACGGAGCCGGAGACCAGAAAAAGTGTGACGCCAACGCCATCTGTCTCATCAACACCGAAACAAACGCCTTCAAGTGCGAGTGCAAACTGGGCTTCGAGGGCAATGGCTTCAACTGTACTGATCGCTGTGAAGGCTTCTGTGACAATTCTGGAGTCTGCGCGAAGGACGAGCGAACGGGAATGCCCAAGTGTAGCTGCGTTGGCTCCTTCACTGGTGAGTAGACTCCTCTTAAAGATCAGTATTTAGATTCAGGTGCATGTAGATGTGGATTACGAGCAGAAAATATGGACTGGAAAAAATATCTTGGCTCGCTTTGTATTGTGATAGAGCAAAACCATTTAGGTCAATACAGAGCTCGTGCCTTGTTCCGTTTTTATCGGGTGTTTACAAAAGCTGAGTTATTACCAAAAGACTTAAGGGATACCTGATCAGGCTGAGGAGATCTAGTTCAACAGGACAGCGGGCGTGGCTTGCAACTGCTTCATTTCTTACCTTCTAACCGCTCTAACCAACCCCCCCCCCCCCTGTCCGCAGGTGAGCGGTGTGTCGAGAAGTCCAAGTTCGCCTACATCACCGCTGGAGTTGCCGGTGTCGTGGTTCTCGCCATCGTCTGCGTGCTATTCGTCTGGATGATCTGCGTCCGAGCCAACAAGAAGAAGCAGCAGGAACCAGTACAGAAGGCCATGACGATCCCGCCGGATGCTGCGTCGCAGGTGAGCGGTGGCAGAGACATCTAGTGGTGTGTGGTGGAAGTTTTAGTTTAGGGTGGTGATGGTAACTCTAGGGAGGGCGCTGGGTATTGATTTGCGATGACAGTGTCCGGGAGTCGTTTCCTATTTCTTCATCGCCCCCACGCATTCAAACTTTTAGTGCGGATTTTAGTCAGGGCTTATGAATAAATGCAGTGTATTGTCGTATTCAGTAAATCACATCACACCCTATAATAGCGGTCATCAATGAACTTATCCAAGTCCCCTGGTCCCAGCACTACAACGTGTAAACACGCTCATTGCGAGCCAAACATTGTATGTATGCTTCTATCCACTTAGAGTTATCAACATCAACCACCTTCACCCCTGACGTTTACCTATTCTCGCTGACAGGTGAACTTCTACTACGGCGCGCCTACTCCGTACGCTGAGAGCATCGCTCCTTCCCACCATTCAACCTACGCACACTACTACGACGAGGAGGATGACGCCTGGGAGATGCCCAACTTCTACAACGAGACCTACATGAGGGACGGGCTCCACCCGGGTAAAGCCAACAGCCTGGCGAGGTCGAACGCCAGTATCTACGGAGCGGCGCGTCAGGACGAGCTGTACGATCGGCTGCGCAAACACGCCTACACCGGCAAAAAGGGTTAGTTGAGAGCGGGGACAGGGGGGGGGGTGTTTTATGTGTTGGTCAGGTGCCCAGTAGTGTTACCGGGCGTTGTTGGTGTTTGGGCCTGGTTAAGTCTCACATCGCCTTTCCAGGGCAAGTCTGATGTAAATTTCAGCTGGTTTCATTCCAGTTATGATGCGATTCCGAATAAAATATAGTTCATCAGTGAGGTTATTTTAATTTTCTACTTTACATCTTTCTTGAAATGTCACGATCTGTCAAAGGGCATCCTGCACCATGTTTAATGACTACATAGAACTGTAAAATCTCAAACACCAGACAGGTACGAATAACCTAAAAGTGCTTGTGGAAGTGGCAAACGCCTCAAATACACGCTTAACCCAGCAATGCTAGGCATGCAAGCTGAACCCTTAGATACCACAAAACTAACCAAACTTCCTCCTTTCCGCAGACAAGAACGACACGACAGACGATAGCGACGACCAGGCCCGCTAGTGGTTCCGTGCCAGGGGAGAAGGCAGCCCGTCCAACCAGCCTGCGAGTCTGGGAGGCCGAGCGGCCCCCCGGACTCCGGAGCGGGGCATTTACCGGACGTTGCAGCCGAGCCCTGGGGTTACGGGCGGCTGGTAGCGTCGGCTCAACACGCGACTGCCGCGAGAGAGCCCACTTTTCTGGGCGGGTGGGCGATGCCGGCGTCACGAGGATCGTAACGTGTCGTAACGGTCGTAACGTTACGAGGAGGTCGTAACGTGACGTGGAGACGATCGTAATGTGTCGTAACGATCGTAACGCACCGTCGTAACGATCGCAACGTGTCGCAAGGATCGTAACGTAACGTCGTAACGATCGTAACGTTACGAGACGCTCGCCAAGAGACCCGGTGCGGTCGGTCGCAGAGGCCAGCCGCCGGATCCGTCCAGTGCTCAGTTTTCATGTACCATTTTACCTAAGTTATTGTATGCACGAGTGGGAAGTACCGTGTGTTGGGATATCATTGGAGGGGAGGGATGGGATGATGGGAGGGGTGGGGTCGCTTGGGTGTCGAACTGCAAAAGGACTGCTTTTGTGGTGTGTTTTATAAGTGAGGCGTCGGTGTGAATGAGATTCAGAATGTTTGTAAATGTGTTAAGTGTCAGATTTTGCGTTTGAAGGATGACCTGTCGTGCTGTCATGTATTCCAGTTCTGTCAAACTATGTCAGATGTCATGACAATATCGCGATGCATCATGAGATCTGTCAAACTATATCGGATGTCGACAATTCTAGCACAATGAAAGATCTGTCTCATGTCGGATCGCTGCCGTGCTGTTTTGTATGATAGATCTGCTATAATATGTGAAATATCCGTCCAGACTTACTAGCATGAATCGAGTTGACACTGGATATTCTGAATAAATGGACGACGCCAAAACGAGGATTTAATTCAGAGGAAGGTTGTGATTAGCGGTAACCTGACAAAAAATCGTAAAGCAGAGGAATGTAAGGCAGAAGATCGCAGAAAGTTGATTTGTTTGTTTGTTTGTTTTGTTGGGTTAGGCCCTTTCGGTCTGACAAGACCATTGCAGAGCCGGAAGGATGATAGGAATTAGGGGGAGACATTGGTCTGGGCAGGCACCCTAGTGAGTCGCCGGGGCTGAGCCCGTCCAGAGGACAAGCCACCCAGCCCCCAGCCCCAAGGTACTCACTGCACCCGGCTACGGGGTGCGCTCCCTCGGGAACAGCGGTGCCGCTCCAAGGGAGCAGCCCGCATGAGATAAAGTTGCCTGTCCAGCCCGGAGGGGGATTGCGGCGTGGAGGAGAAGGATTTCAGTATCCTGAGGATAGAAGCACGGAACGGTGCAGAAAGTTGATCGTATGCAAAATATCTTAGTGGATAAAGATCGCACGGCATGATGCGTAACGTAATGTCGTTTATTTCTAGAACGATATTACGCAAATCACGCAAACTCGCAAAAAAAATGCACGCAGAAAACGCATAGTGTAGCTCAGCCTTTAGACGTCAGGCATCGTCGCACAAGTGCATCTCACGGCGGCTGGACACGGAAAGAGCGTGACCTGCACTGACGTCCCGCCCCCCCCCCCCCCCCCCCTGGCCGGCGCCGGGGTCGGGACGGCACGCGATTGGTCAGCCGGCCACGTGACAGGTCGCGCATGACGTCACGTACGCCCTCAGAAGAACGCTCGCGAGACAAAACGACTCAACTAAATTACAAAAAAGCGCCATACACCATTTACTCATGCTGCCACAGGTTATGTCATCATCACCAAGATCACTTCATGAAATCGATGTTCGTATGCGTACCTACCTATATTTTGCACTTTTCGATCATATCTTCACTCGCAGGGTATTTCATATTTCATCTCAACAATTCCATTTAACAAAGGTCAATGATTGTCACTCAGTGTACCATTCAATACCTACCTTGTTCGAGTAAGTAAAATATGTCTATTTGTTAGACCGAAGTGTTATCTTGGCGTTTTTTCTCTGCCGAAACGCAGTGCACGTTATTGCAGGCAGCAGCAACATGTAAGATGTACCTAATCTTTGTGGTTATGTAACATACGCTTACAAAGGTTTTGATAATTACTGCAACTAGCAAATTGAACTGAAGCTGCTTGGCGCTTCCAACGCAGACTCCAGCCTTCATAATTATCACATGGGCGACATGTGAACAGACTGCTGAGTGCTGGCGATCGCATATTGATATTGAACCGACAGGCTACCATTATCCTCCGTTTCATGGAATACGCCGTAGCGGATTCAGTAAATCCACAGTTCTTAGTCATTCGGCCCACGCTTGTCAAATGTGCAAAATAGGGTAGGCACTTTGTTCGGTCAGTGACTATGGAACGACGATCTAAAGAGCCATTAATAAAAATTAAATCTGAAAATGCGTGAAAATGTTGGAAAATAAAATAACCGAAGGTTTGTTGTCAATAGTTAAAACACTATTCTTTAGAATTGTGTTTTTCTATTGAAAAACAAATCTGAGTTCCCTGACAATTTGGCAAAAGGTGCCTGAGATCAGTAATCGATGATTATTTTTACTCAAATGTCATTGAAACAATGGTACAAATAGCCAAATAGAAAAGGGCCACCTTCGTGAAATATGAAGATATCGTTGTTTTTCATTTTGACATTATTATTTTTCATTTTCTTTTTAAAACTGGTGCCAGAAGTGCACAATTCGCGAAAAAGTATTTAAAACTATTTAACATATTGGTACTATGTTGATACTCTCTACGGCACCTACTGTATGATGGCATAGCGATGACGTCACACTCAAGCCAATCAGCGTTCAGAAGACAGACTCGTCGGATTGTGTCAGATAAGCTGATTGGTTAAAGCTGAGCTGGTTGGAGCTGATTGGTAAAAAAACAAAGCCTCGCCGCGGGTGGCTGTATTGTCGGATAAGAACGCATTCCTGGGATAAGGACGCATTCCTGGCGTATTTTCTTTTAAAATTGCCGATAACTACGAATGGAGGCCGAAATCGGCCGTAAGGAGGTAGACCGATAGGTTTTCGGACACGGGCTACAAGATGGCTATCTGATTATTAGCCTCTTAAACATTAGCGAGGGTTCATCATACCAACAAAATACCAAACACATTAGGATTGAAATACCAAATACCGAGTTGGTATCGGTTTGGTATCGGTATACCAAAAAGTTGGTATTGGTATCCGATTGACATCTCTACTGGTGTGCATTTGTGCTGGCGTCTGAGCTCTGCTCCCGCCCTGCTCAGACGCAATCTTCTCTATGACACAGCCAAAGCTGACACAAGGGAAAACTCAGCGTGGGGCAGTCCCAGTCCGCCCACTCCCCCGAAGAGCGGATGTAGATACAATCGGCGTTGTTGGTTTCGCCCCAGTTGTTGGGCTCGCCGCGCATCCACCAGGCTGCAGAGGGCGACACTCGTCCGCAGGTGTCCTTCCCCATCCACGTGCCTTCGGTGACCTTGTCAGTGACTCCCAACCAGACATCATCGCCAACAGCCAGATTGATAGCGCACTGGTTCTCGGCTTCCGAACGGGGCACGGCCAGGTGGGCGCCCAGCAGCGCGGCGCACTGGCCCTCCGCTACGGCGTAGTGCACCTTCTCTAGGGCGAGTCGATGGTAGCAGCGACCGGCGCAGCGCGTAAAACCGGGGGGACAGCTGCAACGCGAGCCGATGGTTCCTGGAATAGAACAGAGACGACTGAAATATGAGGGTCCATAACACTGCGTTTCCATGACACGTCTAAATCGGTTTAGCGAAATTTCACGTGCGTTTTTCTCGGATACCATTCACCTTATGCAAAAAAAAAATGAGCGTATATACTATATATGGTTTTAGCTAGCACCTAATCCTATCTTCATATTTTTAAATGATGCCTAAATGCTATGATGGAGCAAATCCGGTCCCGTAGCTCAGTTGGTAGAGCGTTGGACTCCGCGTGGTGAGAGCACGCGTTCCCGGTTATAACAGTCCGGGTTCGAAGCACGACGGGCGCTTGACATTTATGGGCCTCCTGACTACGAAAGTGGTGGTTTTCTACCACAGATGCCCGTCGAGGTCGGAATTTCCAAATACGCTCCCGGCAGGTATGGTTGCGGTTGGTGGCAGGCCGTAGCCAGGCGAAGTCAGTGAGGGGACCGGCCCTGCGCGGCTATGTGCGCACGTTAAACTTTAGACTCTAAATTCTGCCATAGAACTGGAATTGCGCGATCGGAGGGTAGAGGGCAGGGTCACTGCAACAAGCTTCGCTTAGCGGTGGCTCTGTCCTTGTGAATCCTTCCAATCAAAAGGTTTGGACTAAATTTATTTTTTAAATCTATTTTGCAACTTGTGCCATGGAACGGCTTAACTTGTGCCATGAAAACGTAGACTAAGATGAACAAGGGGAAATAAGTACCTATTAAACTTTTTTGTCGTTTTCTTTTTAAGTCGAAGTTTTTGAAGGTGACCACTGGTGATGTCAATTAGGTACAGAAAATCGGAATACCGATACCAAACCAATTAAAGGGACCCTCCCGGCTCTCACCTTCAAAAAAGTTAATGAATTAGCATGAAAGTGATGTCGCTAGGTTCAGAAAGAGCGAAAACGAATATCTACCAAATTTCATCGAAAAATATTTACCGGTTTTTCAAGATATTAGACCTTTACTTTTGTTTACTTTTTGGGATCTCCGCTGTTCCTAGCGACTTTATTTGAAAGTGCGGCACTTGTTGCGCGCAAAGCGGCATATTACACCGCGTGCTACCAAACGTTTTAGTAAAAGATTTAAAATCGTTAGATCTGCGCTGAAGTCACAAATTCTAAGGGGGCATTCCAATGCATTAGCCCCTTAGAATCCGAAAACTGCAAGTTTGAAATTCCATATCTCCGCATTAAAGCATCTTTCGATGTTGTGAGTGCCCAAACCGGTATTTTCAGGCCATGGCCACCAATTTGGCTATCTCAACTCCAAACTAATGTTAAGGTGGGATGGTCACTTAAATTAATACCAATCAAATCCGTGAGGAACTATACCGAAACCGAACCAACTTGGGAGCATGAGGGAAATACAAACTTTTTACCAATTTATCAGCATCATTCGCATTAGTGAGGGTTCATAATAACAAAATACCAAACATATTAGGATTGAAATACCACATGCCAAGTTGGTATTGGTTTGGTATCGGTTTACCAAAAAGTTGGTACCCGATTGACATCTCTAGTGACCACTGACCGTCCAGCTCGAATCAGGGGGATATAGGCGCGCGGGAGAAAGATTTGCTTGCCCTAAGGATGGAAAAGAAATTGCGAATGAGTTTTTGGAAACTCAGTTCTGAGCTGATCTTTCATGTGTGCACCCTGCTTGGAGATTTGTCCCTGAACGGTTATATATAATCTGTTCAGCAGACGCATTAGAGGGATGTGAAGAAGTATGCTACCCAATTGCCTCCCTTGCACTTGTGCCTTGTGCTTTGGGATTTGAACAAGCACGCTTACCTGGGCAGACTGATCTGATCCATCGCTCTGACGTCGGCTGGCCCTCGTCGGGCGGGGTAGCCGGTCCCTCACATACGTTTCGCCCATTGTACAGGTGGCATATTCCATCGTCTCCGTAGACGAAACCGCCGCAGCCAGTCGCCTCCTGCCTCTGACATTTGGCCGAACAGAACAGACGCGACGGAGCGTCGAAACTTGATACGGGTGAATCGGTGAATCGAACCGTCTTCTTGGTGAACTGAGATTTACTGGCCAGCGTCAGGACGCTGAGTGATAAAAGAGACAACCGGCGCAGTGTGGCGCCCATCACTGCCGACATATCGGAACGTCCGCGCTCGACGACCGGCGCCGAGGCTTTATCAGCGACAAAATAGATGCCCAGCGTCGGAGCCGATGACGGAGTCGACGTTGCCAACGAAACGTTAGTTTCAGC